GTGCCATGGGTGGTCCTCCTCCGCCTCCTCCACCTCCTCCAGGAGGTCTTCCTGCCCGTCCGCCTGCTGGGGCAGGCAACAGAGTATGTTCATTTAATGCATACCTTTGTCCGTCGTTATAGTTACCTTGAGGGAATCTGACAGCTCTCCAGGGCGCACTTCTATCAGATATCCACAAAGGCAGAGCTCTCAAAAAAGCTGTTACCAATGACCGTTCAGCGCCTCAAGTTGGAAATACATCAAATTCGTCGGCAGCTCTGCCTGTTGGCGGCGCACCTCCTGTCCCCGGCCTGGGTGGTGCTCCTAAGCCCCCAGGAGGTCTCGCACCACCGGTCCCAGGAGGACGAGCGAGGAGTAATAGTGATCAAGGATCTCACGATTCGACGGCAGGCATGGATACCGCGCCGCAACTGGGTGGTCTTTTCGCTGGTGGAATGCCCAAGTTGAAAAAGAGCAGGGGAGGCATTGACACAGGCGCAAATGCGGATTCTTCATATCGATCAGATCCTGAATCTACTACCTCAGCACCCAAACCTCCAGTCGGCTTCGCACCCAGGCCTCCTTCAGCAGTTGCGCCAGCAATTCCTGGGCGAGGGCCTCCAGTACCGCCTCCGGGAGGAGCAGCAAACTTGAGAAAGACGACACCCGTGGGATCCAAGCCTCCCCCTCCTCCTATTGGAAAGAAGCCACCTCCCCTGCCGACGTCAAGAAAGCCTTCGTCAATGTCTCTGCCACCATCCGCGCCCTCGCCATCTTCAGCGCCTCCTGCTCCACCACCACCTCCGCCTCCTCCATCAAATAGTGCATCCGCTCCTGCCGCTCCTCCTCCTCCTCCGCCTTCTGCGGCACCTCCTCTGCCGAGTCAATCACCGGCTTCACGATCTTCAGTGCCGCCCCCTCCGCCCCCTCCGCCTGCAGCATCACATTCGACACCATCACTCGCTGCAGTAGCTGCCATTCGCGCCGCTGGTCAAGCATCTCCAAGCGCAGCGCCTCCTCCTCCTCCACCCCCACCTTCTGGATCAGTACCAGCACCCCCAAGCGCACCTTCGCCACCGCCACCAACGACACGTTCTCGAGGTTCATCCCTTCGTCAGTCCATGTTGGATCCAAGTATGTTCACCTTGACAGCCAATGGAGCAAAATCCCCAAGCCCGAAGCACTCACCAGCGCAAACGCCCGGTATCAGTGGTGGGGTCCGTATTGCGATCAACGACTCTAGGTGGCAGTTCAAGGATGAAGGTTTATTCCCGAAACCCAGGGACTTCGTAGGTGGAACAAGAAAATATAGGGCAGGAAGAGGCAGCAGTGTACCGCTGGATTTGAGTATTCTGTGAGTAGCGTACACCTTGGGCCCATAGAGTTGTGCTCTCTCCCAAAGAGTTTGATGATCAAGCTATGCTATTCATGATGAGGTGAACATCACGCGATTATTAAACAGATAGGATATTGGAGCTAAATATGACTCAACATATCACGCAGTATGAAGTGATCGATGAGATTTGGTGTTTTTATCGTGAAATAATGCTGGTCATGAGTTGAATCTATTGAATCATTTTCTTCATGCCGCGGTATGGTACAGTCGAGTTACATACTCTTAGGTAGTGTACATATGTAGATAACCATCTCAAATTTACATAGACTTGAGGTAGTTGGTTTCCTTAATCTTGGCCCTTCTCTCCTTTCGCATGGCCTTCTTAAGTTCCTCTCGCTTTTGTGCGGCCTCAATGTTATGTTCGACTCCTCGATTCTCCTCTCCGAGGATATTAATAGACTGACGTTGAAGAGGAATCTTAGGAGCCAGAGCCTCGAGATTACCCTCAGCCAACAGCTTGGCCTCGAGGGTCTTTTGACGCTTGGCTGCCAGTTTTCTTTGCTTCTTTGACTTGGCTTTAGTGTCGTTAGTGATGTCTTGCCTTGTGGTAAGATATCAGGTACAAAACATACAGAATTCGTCACCAGCATCGGCATCCGCTGAATCGGCACTCTTCTTCAAGACGTCCAAGCAAGACCACAACCATTCTGGGTATTCATCATCATTCTTTGCAACAGGGTCCTGCCCACCCTTGGTATAGTTTAAGCCATTAAGAACAGTTCCAGGTGCACATGATGATCGTGCAGCAGGGACATCCTTCTGTGCCTCGCCGACCGCTGTAACGGGAGTCGAAAGTTGAGGTTCGGCGGAACGGAAATTTGTCGTTGTCGAAAACTGTCGAAAAATCGGCTGCGAGCGCCGCAAGGAGGTGGCGCGCAGACATCGAGTGCAGAACATTATGTTTGCTGGTGGTGGGTTGGGGTGAGATGAAGTGTAACGAGGCTCGAAGTTCTGGAGAAATTTTGGACGACCAGTTGGTGGAGAGCCAATGAGAGGCGATGGAAGATGTAAAACGTCAGCCTCGCGCCCAATTGGAAGTCTTCAAAATGTTGAACTACGATCAATATCCATTGGCTCTCACAGGTGCAACTGTGCAGTTTCCTTATAGTTTCTTTTAATTCGCTTCTTCCTGATATATACAATTCATACAAGGTCAGATGATTGCTTCACCCATTTTTGGTGAGCCGAGACACTTAAATCATGATATCTAGACCATAATTCCCTCTCATCTGGACATCACATCTATGCAATCCCTTCCCAACTCAGTTTCTGGTTTAATTAAAGGCTTACGATGAGAATCGGCCGTGGTTGAGCTTGGCAATCTTGTCGCTAGTGTGAACTTTGGCAGCGAGATCAAGCTCTTGATCCTTCTGGTCAACATAGTTTTGTTGCAGGAACTTGGTGCCCTTGATCTTGTTCGTCTTCAGCAATTGCAAATACCTCTCTAGTCTCCAAAGTCAGTAAATGCTTAAAGCCTACTCTCGGCGGCCCTCGGGAAAAGCTCCATGTCGAAGCAAACTAACCTCGGAGGTGGCCGCAGTTCTCCAAGTGATTGACACCCTCTCGAACGTAGCACTTGTTGAGCTCCTCTCCAACAAGACGAGTCATCATGGCTCCAACCCATTGCTCTCGGATGAGGGCATCCTCGGCAGCCTTGAAGGCTTTAGTATCATCGTAATCGACGCCATTGAATGTAGGAGGAACGGTGGGCTTCTGCGCCTTAAACTGCTCGGACTCGGGAGTAGGCATGGTGATTCTGAGGCTACCTTTTTGGTTTATGAGTAGATTATAGAATTGTAGCGAAGGACAGCGCGCAAGGCTGGCAACGAGACTCAGTCGATAGGTATCGGCAACTTGGTATGTCCGAGTAGTAGCTTGAAGCTCAACCTAGGTGAATTGAATGTCCAATAATAAGCGACCTGAATTCTCAGGCAAGGTCAGACCCACAAGTCCGTCGACCACCTTCCCCGTCAGTTCGAAGGTCCTCACCGCCCTCAGGAGCCCCACCATTCTGACGGCAGGAAAAAAGAAAGTGAGAAAAAAAAGTAGATCCAACCACCAGCTTAAAAGTCTGCTTTCTCCATCCGCTCTTCCCGTTTTTCTTCCTGCTCATTCCCTCCGACTAAACATTCACCATTTCCCTACCACCTCTTACCCCCTTCTACCTAATACATAATTACAATGGCTAAGACAAAGACAAAGGAGAGCAAGGCCAAGGTTGCTGAGCCTCTCAGCACCGTCAAGGCTGGAGGCATCACCAAGCCCTCCAAGTCCTCCAAGTCTAAGTCCAAGGAGCTTGCCAAGGCTGCTGCCAAGAAGGTCACCAAGGAGAAGGATACCAAGAAGAGCAAGAAGAAGGCCGAGCCCGAATCTTCTTCCGAGTCTGAGTCTGAGAGCGAGTCTGAGGCTTCCGACTCCGATTCCGACTCTTCTTCCTCTGAGGAGGAGAAGAAGGTTACTAAGAAGACTGTCACCAAACCCAAGGCCAAGGCTGCTGAGTCTTCATCTGAATCTGAGTCCGACTCCGGCTCAGACTCCGACTCCGATAGCGAGTCTGAGGATGAGAAGCCCAAGGCTAAGGCTACCAAGGCCAACGGTACTGCTAAGGCTGCCGCTGCCGCCAAGAAGGCTGAGTCTTCTGACTCATCCGACTCTGAGTCTGGCTCCGGTTCCGACTCTGACTCTGACTCTGACGACGAGAGCGAGGAGGAGAAGCCCAAGACCAAGGCTACGGAGAAGGCTGCCGAGAAGGTTCGTACACCCCAACTCTATCTACTGAAGCTACCTCTTACTAACTCCATACATAGAAGGCCGATTCTTCTGACAACTCCGACTCCGATGATTCTGAGGATGACTCCGATGACAGTGACAGCAGCGACTCTGATGAGGAGGCCGGCGCAAAGATTGAGAAGACCGAGGAGGCTCCCTCCAAGAAGCGCAAGGCTGAGGATGATGGCGATGCGGATGCCAAGAAGACAAAGACCGACGAGCCTACTACCCTCTTCGCCGGCAGCCTAAGCTGGTCCATCGACGACAATGCCCTCTACGAGGCTTTCAAGCACATTGAGGGTCTTGCCAACGCCCGCGTCATGACCGAGAAGGGTACTGGTCGCAGCCGTGGCTTCGGTTATGTCGACTTCAACGATGCTGCCTCTTGCACCAAGGCCTACGAGACCATGCAGGGTGTTGAACTTGAAGGCCGTGCCATCAACCTGGACTATGCCAACGCTCGTCCTGCTGATGCTAACCCTCAGTCTCGCGCTGCCGATCGTGCCCAGCGTCATGGTGACACTGTCAGCCCTGAGAGCGATACCCTCTTCGTCGGTAACCTTCCTTTCGATGTCGACCAGGACACCGTCCGCGAGTTCTTCAGCGAGGTCGCTGAAGTGGCCAGCGTTCGCCTACCTACCGATCCGTAAGTAGCAATGTTCACTCTACCTCCGCGCTCCTGTTACTAACTCCCGACAGTGATAGCGGTAACCTCAAGGGCTTCGGCTATGTCAGCTTCAACTCGGTCGAGGATGCCAAGCAGGTCTTCGAGGCCAAGAATGGCGCCCCTATTGGCAACGGCCGTATGTCCCGTAGCGTCCGCCTGGACTATGCCAGCAGCAGGCCTCAGCAGGGCGGTGGCGGCGGCTTTGGTGGTGGTCGTGGAGGTGGTCGCGGTGGCGGCCGTGGTGGCTTCGGAGGCCGTGGAGGTGGTCGCGGTGGCGGTGGTGGTCGCGGCCGTGGTGGTGGTCGTGGTGGTAGCTTCGGCACTGGTGCTAACCGCACTCCTACCACTTTCTCTGGCTCCAAGATTTCTTTCGATTAAGCGTGGGTTGATGCACAACAGTTGCGCACTGAGGGCTTCTGGCGGGTTTACCAATAAGTGGGCTTTTGTGGGCTGTCGATTCAACACAAGACAAAACTCCATCATGGAGTAGTGGGCTTTGAGAATACGCATCACACGCGTAAAGCAGTTATAGACCTGGGGGCTATTACACTTGAGGGACCGTGGGCTCGTGGCATCTTCATAAAGCACCTTCCTGGTGTCTTTGGCTCTTTGATCAAGCCCTTTCTCAAGGCAGACACCACGTGGGCTTCTGAGGGATTTGTTGACCACTCTTTGGGAAGAGGCTCCCTATGTCTTCCAGACATTGTGGAGTGGACCAAGTCGGTTCTTGCGAACGCTCTTGAGGGTCCCTGGGGGCTTCTCGAAAAGATACGACCATGCCTATGCCTAACCACAGCACCAGTTGACGACGATCTCCTGCCTTGACGACTAAACCATCTTGATTTCTTATACCATGTACACTGTTTCATCGTTTGATGGTGAGTATACCACTGCCGTTATTCTTTCGATTTATGTAGCAACGGGATAGTGCACATCTCGATTGTAGGGGCGCAATAAAAGTTCAATTATGTTTCTTTCAATGACGTCACAAGGGTCTTTTCATGAGTGAATGTAAACTAAAGTATCAGATAGCTTAGTGAATATTTTGCAGCGGGATGATATTGTCTTGGAGATCATATGTCCCCGTCTTGACATATGACCCTGGACAAAACGCCTGGACAAAACGCTTAAATTAGGGGTATGGGTCCATCTTGGGTTAGGTGTAGCACAGGGGTGAAAGTTCTTTCATAGGTAGGTAACATACATACTGGTGCTGCCCTTGTACTCCGTACTGTTGCAGAATTTAGGATGCAGCTGCTGCCATTCACAACGGGCTGTCCATAAATTGATGTGCAGCGTGTGATAGCTGTGTCACATAAGCCGCGAATCAGACGGATGGTGGGGACGGAGTGACCAGTCTCGAGAAACACTACTTACGCGTGAGCATGTCAACATGATGCTTGAGTACTGATAATCAAGGCGCATTTGGTGGGAAAGTTGAAAAGAATATCATGGAGATCAGCCTTGAGAGTCAGCTGCTAGGTAGGTGAGGTGAGGTGAGGTGCGGTGCGAAGCTATGGCACGTAAAATTATGGTTTTACCTTACCTTAGTTACTAATATACTAACTTGGTAACTTAGTATTACTACAGAGTATCTGTACTCTGTAAGGTATCTCCAGCTGATACATAATACGTGTTGATCCAGGGCCCAGTTCCGATATTATTCAAAAGCTAGAGATAACGCACCTATAATACTTGTAGACTGTAATAATTAACAAGTTCAAGTTTCGCTGGACTGGGCTGCCGTATTATATTAAGGCGATAACTAGATAATTGTTACGCTATAACTTTCAAGGCTTACTGGGAACATATGGCCCAGGGCATTGTTCCATGATTCTTTGTTTCGCGTATAATGCAGATCCTTGAAAGTCGACAGATCTATGAGCCCAGAGCTTGGTCAAGGGTCTTTAATTATCCACGTCGGTACCGGTTATTATAAGAGGTATCGAAAGACTCCCTTATATTGAAACAGTCAAGCCGAATAAAGCAAATACTACTCGGCACATTTAAGAAGATGCATAGGCTGGAGGATACCTAACATCTGTCAGCCTCAACCCCCTTTCCTCTTCCAGTTGCCTGCGATTCTCTTTACGGTGGAATTTCATTTGGGGTCTAGTGTGAGCTTATTTGGGTGCTCTAAACCCCGCCTTGTACTCATGACCGTAGGTAATGTTCGTGCTGCGTGCTCAGATGTAAGGCGGGGCTGATGTACAGATACTCGTGTAAAGGTGCTTCACCGCTTTCGCGACCACGGATATACAGTGCGCAACAAGAAGAGCGTCATCGTTACCTAGAGCAGAAGGTAGGTACTGTTACACTAAATAGGTAGGCTATGAGATACACTTGAAGAGTTGTAAGAGGGAGAATTTAGATGGGTAGACGGGCTGGGGGCATTAGGCGGAAAAGGTTATCTGTTAGAGATTTAGTTATAATCAGGACTAAGTTTTTAGCTTAATAAAGCTTTATTAAAGAGCTATAAATATTTTAAATATAAAAGTATACCTGTTAGTGCAAGCCAGGGGGAGACTAACTAAGCTAGCTTAATTAGGCATAAAACCTTAAGATATATATAAAACTTTAAAACAGTTTAAGACTATTAAAATATTAAAATTATAGTATATTTTTAGATAATTTTAATAATAAATAATATATTAAATAGAAATCTTATATAAGTATAAAAAAAATATTCTTAAATGGCTTTAAATTAGCTCTATAAGATTGTATTTTTAAAAGATTTTTAACTATTTTATTTTATAGTCTTTTAAATAGGTAAAGTTAAGTAAAAAAGAAATTTATTTTTAAAATTCTTAAAAAAAAAAATAGTTTTTTTTAAGATTATTAATTCTATAAAAATATTATATATATAAAAAAAATATTTTTAAATAAAGCTTTTCTTAAGTAATTTTATTAAAAATATCCTATTTTACTAATTAAGCTAGTTATATAGTTATTTCAAGATATATCGGTTTTTTTTTTTTTTTTTTT